GCCTATCTTTACTTCAAATAGGTGACTTAAGCAGCATAGAACCAGCACCCTCTGCCATCACGGGGTTTCTCATATTGCCTCTTTTTAGGAAGCGATGGATGTGGGAAGGTATGGAATTCCATTGGGAAGAGGATTGGATAGTGAAAGATCTGCGGAATGCCGCGGTTCTGTTGGCCATAGCAGTGCCGGTCTTAGGGTGGAGAACCGAAGCAATTGCCCCGGGGCGCTGATCTGGAAAGGTGCCTGTTGGCGGCGCCGATCATCAGGGGCGCTCGCCATCTCTTATAAATTAAAAAAAATACACAAAAAATATTAAAATTATTACTTTTAGTCTATTAATAAAGCAACTGTATTAGAGAAATATTGAATAAAATATAATTGCAATAATGCATAATATAAAACGGCTCAAGAAATATATTTAATGTTTTTAAGGGGGAGGGAGATGACGTTGTCCGGGGGGGGGAGGCGAATGTCTAAGGTCGGCACTGGGCTATAGTATAGAGTGGGTAATGCGGGAATGAGCTGAAGATTTGAATTGAAGGATCTGAGAGATGTATGATGGACGGTGGGATTGGTTAACTTGGAAGATACCAGGGAATACTTACGATGGTAGCATAGATAAAGCCCCTTCAACTCTTCATAAAAAGAAGGTACAGCGTAGTCCCTTGTGACCCCAAAGATGAAACATGCAAAGCAAATTATCAACCGTTTTAGTTTTGCCTCTAGAATATCATAGAAATAACAGGAAGCTCGCGGATTCCAAATGGAAATAGGTGATGGAGATAATGTAAGGAGGAAAACACACGGCAAGAGGTACTAAATACATGTTTTTTTAGGGAATAATTTTGATCAAAGATTGCTCCAAAGTTTTTAATGGTAGGATACAATTTGATGGAATTATCGTTTAGATACAAGGCTGAAATATTGGGAACAGATTTAAGAAAATGTTTGGAGCCTATTACATTGTTTTTCTAGTTTTTTCAGCATTCAACTTCAAGTTGTTAGTTTTTGTCCAGTCACAGATTCTATTTAAGTTTCTTAAAGTTTTTTTGTTGCTTGTAAAAGATCAGAAGGAGGGAAGAACGGAAAGAAGTTCCTCTACCCTTATTTTTCTTAGACTTGGATCCAACTCCAGGGATCGAAAAAGTATATGAAATAAGAATAATGTACTATACAAGTGTGATAGTAGAGAAGAAATATCCTAAGAGGGAAATCGTGCAGTGCCACAATTGCTAGGCATACGGCTACACGAAGACATACTGCCATCATTTGCCGTGAAGTGTGGAGAGCACCACAAATCGTGTGAGTGCACAAAACCGCAACGAGATCCTGCAGTATGCGCTCTGTGCCTTGAAGAACGTCATGCGAACCACAAAGACTGCCAGATATAAAAAAATATCAAGTCAAGGTATCAGAAATCCCAGAACAAAGAAGAAACAGAAAGTTCAAAAAGAGGACCTTCCAAAATCATTGATCCGACGGTGTCTTTTGCACACCTACTAGGGGGTAAGAATGGAATTACTAATTGTAAGACCCTACTGCAACAGCAATACACACCTCAAGATCCTCAACCCCACACTCAACATCCTATCACTTAAATTTCATCTAATCCTCAACAATTCAAGCGACACCAAATATCTCACATTCCTCCTCCATCAAAGACCACAGATCTCACCAGTTTACTTACACCTTTCCTCTCTGAATTCAAATCTCTTGTTACTCCTTTGATATCCATTCTTAACAATCTTGTATCACATTTTATCCCTCCTCACAAAAATCCTTAAATGACTTCCAATAAACTTATATCCATTCTCCGTTGGAATGCGAATGGTGTTAGGAATCATACAAACGAACTAACTACATTATTACTTGACAAGAATATTGACGTGGCACTAATTACTGAAACTCGATTAACCACTAAACAGCACTTCAAAATACCACAATAATTGACATATCGCACTGACCACCCTGACCGAAGACTACATGCCGGTATTGCTGTGCTTGTACACCAATCCCTCTCCCATCACCTACTCCCATTACCTTGTTTTTCAGCATAATCTCTGAGATTATTCATTTAAAGCAGGTCAAGGGTACACAAGACAACTGGTATTTACTGTGTACAGTTATAAACTATATTTTTTTATTATTTTCTTTTATGCGATATATCCATTAAGCCAGTAGAGCGACTATTAAGAGCATAACGTCTATTCGTTCGTTATGCTCGATACCTCGTTCTTCGCCTGTCAAACAAAATCCTCTTCAACCTCGTTAACATCTCCAGTGACCCCTGTTAGTTCCGGAGAACATGAAACCCAGCAAGAAACAATTCTATAAAGGGTAGGATTCGTTTCGTTGAGGATCTTTTCAAGGATTTTTGAAAGGATTGGACGTAGGCTAATGGGTCTGTAGGTAGTTAAGCTGTTGGGAGGTTTGCCTGATTTTGGAAATAGGATAATAGTAGAATGTTTCAATAAAAGAGGAAAGTGGATGGTTCTCAGGATGCTATTGTATATGTAAGTGAGGAATTTGACAGCTTTAGGAGGGAGTTGTCTAAGAATCTGAGAGGTAAAGAGGTCGTGTCCAGGTGATTTGCGGGTAGGTAGTTTTTGTAAGTGATATTTGACCTCAAAAGGGACCTGCTTTAGGCGGTAAGGAGAGTGGGATGAGTGAATTAAGGAATTCCTCTTCTGCTGACGTGTGGGTGAGGTTGGATTCCGAATGAGAGGTGAATGGAGAAGGTGTTTGGCAAATTCCTCGGCTTTATCTTCGTCAGATGCTGCCCGTGAACCATCACCTCGACGGAGAACATGTGAAATATGAGGGAGTTTTAGGATTTTTTTAGTGATGTTCCTCAAGGAAATTTCTTGAGGAGTGAGAAAAGTATGGTAGGACTTGAAGGATTGGGATCTGAAGGTTCCTGCTTTAATTGTTTACAGAAATAATTACAGGATTTACGGTAGGTGGGGCGTCTAGTACGTTGCCATAATAATTTGGCACGGCGTTTAGTGTGGATTAGGTCCATGAGGTGTTGAGGTAAATTGCCTTACTTGGGAGTTCTTGAGGAGTGGTTTGAAGAGGAAGCAGTCCAAATTGCTTGTTGAATAGTGGTGGTAAAGGAATGTATGGGGTTGTCAATGTCTTCTGGGGTTTTCAGGATTATTTTGAGGTCAATGTTGTTGGAAAGCATCTGTTTCCAGTAGTTCCAGTTAACTGAGCCTATGATAAGAGACTTAGGAATAGGAGCTAGAGATAATTGGAGTAATAATGCACTATGATCTGAGGAAAGTTTGTCAAGCCGGGTAAGGGAATGATTAAGGGAACCTAAGCCACTGTGGATGAAAAAATCAAGGATATCGAGATTGTGGTTTGGATCTGTGGGCCAGTAGGTAGGTGAGTTTGGAGCAAGGAGACTGAAATGTCCTACTATGGGAATTCGTGGTTCTACAACCCAATTGATGATGCTTGGCATTTAAATCTGCACCCAGAATGAAGTGATGTCCTAAGGAGTTGAGAAGAGAACTGAACTGGATATTAGATATGGATTGGGTATGAGGGCAATATGTTGATGCTATGGTGAAGGGGAAAGAGAAGGTTTTGAATACAACAACAGTGGATTGTAGGAAATTTTGAGTCGGCAATGGGAGCTGGTGATGACAAAGGGATTGGTGTACAATAACAGCAGTACCGGCATTTGCTCTACCGTCAGGATGGTCAGTACAGTATGTTATGTATTGAGGTATTTTTAAAAGATGTTTTCTGGTCAGTCGGGTTTCCGTAATTAGTGGTACATCAATGTTCTTGTCCAGTTGTAAAGCTGTTAGTTTTTTTGTCTCCTTTGATTCAGCAATAACCTGAGTCAAGCTAAAGAGGCTGATTATGTTTTGGCTATATACCATTTACAAATATTATTTAAACTTCTTATTATATTTGTACATAACATTAATGAATTTTTGATAATAAATTTAGTTGAAACATTAAATTTTACCTAACATGTATTTATTATTAGTCAGCAATTTATGAATGCTAATACATAAATATATAAAATGAAGTATAATAAATTTGAGTTTAAAATTCAGGTGTTCATCTGAATATGTACGTTTTTGGATTGTATGTCGTTTTATGATCTAGTTTTATAAATATATATTTTTCTGTATAGACATATTTACATATGAAAATACCTTAAGTATTTCTTACTAACTTACATACATTTTGAAATTTAAATGGGATATTTTTATACTATTACTAGTGGAAAATTTATTTCAAAAACATTATATAATTTGTATATGAATAATTTGTTCAAATTAAGATTAATTTACAGAACCATTTCCATCATTTATAATAAATAAAAATTAAGAATCAACACATATACAAGTACTTAATACAAATACTTAATTTTGACCTAATGATTATTCTCAATTCGAAATCCATTTCTCTCATTAAGTGTTATAATTCATAATTCTTATATGTTTATTCTTTGTTATTAACTTTGCTCTATTAAGAATTGAAAGAAAAGAATAGTTTTTAAAGCTGGACCTTGAAAAAGCATTCATTACAAATGATAACAGTACAACAATTTAACTGCATGACTAGGAGCCTAAATTGGGAATAAACTCTGTCATGAAATAGGTATGACAAATAAACAAACAGAAAGTAATGCATTACGATAAACTCAAAATGTATTTTATTACAAAAAATTATATTAAAAAACAACATATTACACTAGTAAAAAAAGGATCCAAATATATATATTGCATCATTATGGTTGAGTTTCCTGTTAATGAAAGGTTTTTAATCACAACTTATCACACCGATATATAATTGCCTATTCTTTTAATTAATAGTCACATATCAAAAGTAATTGGAGTTGTAGGAGCAGCATGCTACTGATTTGTTATATTATGTAATGTCATAACCCATTCTGCTCCAAGTGAAATTCCAGAATCTCATTCATCACTACTTCCTTATCTGTCCCATGGAGGACTTGCACGAAATGGTGTCTCTTAATTAATATTGTGGAGAGACAATAATGCAATAACTGCAACATCCTCAAGCTGACTTTTATGTTGCAGTTTATGTGACAGGATGTTGTCTGAAGCTAGAGAGACCTCTCTACTTCCAGATGCAGGAGGGAAGTCATTGGAAATGGAGGATTCGTTAGGATGACTTCTGCTCAAATTTAGCAAACTGTTTCCAGCAGCTTCTAAAACAGGAGGATTTAGTGGTGGTGAGACTGGATTAAATGGTAATGAATACTTTTCATTATTTTGACAAGTGTCTGTTTCAGTATATACTTGATGAATTGGTACTATAGGTGAGGATGGTCCTGTGTTAGCTGTTCGGTATATAATAGGTGTAGGTATAGGCAAAGAACATTGTGGATACATTATTGGGGGAGTTAGAGCATTAGTGCTCAGCTTAGTCCTCTTAATAATTCTAAATATTTCATCATTTGTAGGTAACGAAGCCATCACCTGTTCAACATTTACAACTGCTTCACCACTGATACCATATTTGTCTTTAATTGCGGCGAGCTGGGCTTTTAACATGTGGTTTTCTTTGCTCAATTCTAAGACTCTTTGTTCAAGAACCACATCATTGTACCAATGTTTTTTTCGAGATATTTTCGCAGCTTCATTATTCCTCCTTCTTCTTTCCCAATAACTTTTAACTTTTCTATTAGCTGGTATGAATTCCCGTTGTTTCCTCAGACAAAACAAATCTTTTCTCTGAAAATGACTACTTTCATCAAATCCAGTAGGATAATTTTCACCGATGCTGGTAGTCTCAGGACTTGAAGCCATATCTCTATCTCGAGGTATTGCACCAATGTCCATATTGTGTTGAAGGAATAAATAGCCAGAAGTTAAAGCACAATTAATGTTCCCCTCATTTGTTACAGCATTGTTATTGTTGTTGGTTAGAGTTCTGAATGCAGGAAGTGGTGTTTCCCCACTTGCTGGGGAACTATCCTGGCATTCTACGAACTCTGCCACCTTCATCTGGGACAATTGAGACCTGCAACAATAAAAATAAAAAAAATACTTTAATATAAAAGTTTGTTGAACAAAAGTATATTTAAACAATTTATGAAAAATTGTAAGACCGTGAAAACTGTATGAAAATATAAAAGTGTTATGTGTGAATAATTAAATAAATTCAAATAGAAAACAAAAGTAAGATAGTTTCAATTTAACAACAATAGGAGTACCAGTTACGAAAGATAAAGTAAATTGTTATTGTATTATGTTATCAATACCATATACAACATAAAAAAAAGAGGAATAATTTTGAACATTAAAAAAATCATTTATCTTTTGTGCTTTGTAGGTAATTTATCAATATGATGGTGTGAAAAAATATATCTTATTTAAGCAAATATTAAATATTATCTTTACTTTTCAAAAAAACTACAGCAGTGATTTAATTCTTAAACCCTACTAGCCTAAAGATTTTTTGAATTTTTTTTTTCAATCTTCTAATTGAAAGAAAATATTAAACAAGGCTATTAAACATTTCTTCACCAAATTAGTCTATTTTCTTTAAAAAGTCTATTGAACTCAAATGAACCTGAATCAGTTCCAATAGTCTAACCAAAAATTAAATATATTTCATAACATCCACTAAGAAGGGGTTAGTAAATAGTGTTAAGAAGGTTAGTGAAATTAATACAAAAGTATAGGGAATGATCACAGAAGTACAGGGGCAGAAATGAATATTTAAAAGATACAAGATAGATCTAAAAATAAGATCAGAAAACTTAAAGCTATTACAACCAAGACTCTACAATATGTTAAGATAAGAGGAAAACTTGGAAAAATGAAATAAAAAAAATAGTTAAAACGGAATGGGTAGTGACTTGAACAGAACCTACAAATGGTTTAGGAAAACTAAAAATTTCAAGCTGAATCATATAAACAAACAGACACATACAAAATTGAAAGCTGTAGAAAACAAAAAAAGAAGATGAACATTCATCAGTTATAATATGTGAAATTGTATAAAGAAATGAAACTATTTCTTAATAAGAATACGTTAGTTAATCTAACATTAAAGACTAAATTCAAGCAAAATAGTGTAGTAAGGAATATTATAAATGTCATTAATGATCGTTATAGAGAAGAAATAGTACAGCAAAAAGAAGTTTTAGTGTATATGATATGATCTATGATCTAATACACATTAACAAAGCTTTATAGTATATATATATTATTATTATATATATATATTATTATATATATATATATATATATATATATATATATATATTATATATATATATATATATATATATATATATATATATATATAATAATAGGTTTACTTACATCACACTTAATATTTTAGAACCGGGAGGTTACGGCCTGGTTCGCCAGTGCCTTGCAAATGCACTTGCAACCATTCCGCTACAAGGTCTTATCTAAAATCAAAAACTATTATAAAAAACTCTATGACAAATGAAGAAGTTGATGGGCGATATAGTCGCTAATTCTCTATGCACAAGTTAATACGAAAGGCTAAATAATAACTGCTAAATGCTCATATGAAATTAATAAGCTACACTTCTACCAGTCCTCGTATAATGTTACGCACAACCTGGAGATTCAACAAAATATTTACTGGCGTGGTGTGAAATTGTAATAATTGGGATAACTAGACCGAAAACTAAACTATGAATTAGAAACAAAGACCTATTGTAAACAATATAAACGGCATCTCCGAAAAATTATCCAAATTTCTAAATCCCCTATTAAACAATTGAAGCAATAATAACCTTACGATACCAAAAATTCAATACAAGTTAAAGACAGTATTAACTTATTAAATAAAATCAATGAGGATGAAGAAATAGTAAGTCATGACGTGGAGTCTCTTTTTACTAACGTCCCGCTAAAAGAAGTATATAAAATACTGGAAAAAGAATGGTCGGAAATAGAACCTCATACACCAATTAAAAATAAGGCAATATTCCTTGAAGGAATAACATTATGTTGCGAAAATGGATATTTTTCATAAATAATACTTTTTATTTAATGAAAAACGGTCTTCCGATGGGAGGTTCGCTCTCGGTCAATCTTAGCGGCATATGTCTAAACCACATAATGGACTCAGCGATAAAAAAACTTAATATAACTCCAAAACTCAGTATAAAATACATAGACGACATCCTCATGATAATAAAGAAACATGAAACTAACAATTTTTTACAGATATTATGTTACATATCAGACAAACTAAAATTAACAATAGAAATAGAACAAAATAATAAAATCAGATTTCTGGACATTATGATATATAGAAATGAAATAGGAGAACTCACCACATCCTGGTGCAAAAAATCCATAACTAGCAATAGAATTTTCAATTGGTACAGTAACCATTGTCCAAGTCAAAAAATTAATTTAGCTAAAAACATAAAGAAAAAGCTAAAATGGTCACGGATAAAATGCATATCAATAAAATAAAAACTGAAATATATAATATATTATTGGATAATTGGTACCCTAAAAGAATTATAAATAAAATATGGTACAAAAACCAATAAAATGAAACGGAGTGATAATAATAATGATAAAAAACAGCAGAAAACAACCATAACAAAAATAACTACCGAAGTAACATTTTAAACAAAAAACCGAATTTAATCACAAATTACTTCAAAAATAATAATTCTGAAATATCTAATAACCTTGAAAAACAATCTCTAGCGCCATACAATCTGAAAATAAAATTGAACAATGTAACCTTAAATATCATTCAATAACTTATATTAAAGATCTAACTAGTAAAATTCAAAGGACGTTGAGGGAATATGATCTATCGAAAATTAAATTAGGTAAAAAGCCAGTAAATACAATTGAAAAACTGTATACTAATACCAAAGATAATATACCAAGTGACATGAAAAATAACGTTATTTATAAAATAAATTGTAAAACTTGCACTAATAAATCATATATAGGACAAACTGGACAATGGTTTGAAAAATAATTAAACAACATGAACAAAATTGTAAGTCCAAATCAAACACATCAACCGGCCTTTCACAACATGCTACATACAACAAACACCAATATGATTTTAAAAATGCCAAAATAATATATAAGGAAAATAGTAACAATAAAAGAAAAATTATTAAGTCAATATATATTACTAAAATTTTAAAGAATTCCGTAACATTTTACGGATTAAAATTTTAATTTTGTTCTATTTTGTTATTCTCAAGGGACTGTGTGCCAGAATAAAGTTATTTTTCTATCTTCTATCTATCTAACAACCATACAGATGTGGACAATATAAATACTTTTTATGCGAATGTAATTAATAATATTCGTATATAATACAATAATTAATTTAAAAGCAATATAAAAATCATAAATTAGATAAAATAATCCACTAATGAAAAACAATAGAAAGAAAACCCCTCTCCCTTTGACTATCCCCACCAGGACGATATATGTCAGTCCCTCCAGAAATGACGTAGGCGAAACCCCTAAATAGCAGGACGATTTAATGTTCACTAAACAAATTATTGCGACATTAATAATGAATATATAACGGAGGACTCATCAAGGTAATATTCAATTGTTTTTAATGTAAGGTTTAAAGTTTAAAGTTACATACTGCTATGTATTGTAAAGACCGCCGGTGGTATTCATTTAATTATTTTAAAGGTATAAATAAATAAATATCATAAGTGGCCACATCTGGCGCTACCTGAGCGAGGGTAACGACCCACAAGCCCAACCTTTTGTAAGTGGTAATAAAAACCTTTAAGAACCACCGACCAAGACCGACAACTGAGTGTTTAAACAGGATCCCGAAAGACCTTTTCACACCTTCCACCAGAAATACGTAAATCTGTACCTGCTGCTTTACCTTGGCCTGGGGGAGAGGGCGTGGTCATCCTTTAGGCTAGGAATATTCAGCCAATCAGGAAAAAAACTACCAAAAGAGAGGGGGATGAAGAAAGGTGGGAAATAGAGAATTGGGACTGAAGACTTCCTTTTGGGACTCAGAGGAGGAGGCTTCTTTTTGGGACTGAGCTGAGGAGACTTCAAGCGGGGGAGTCGAGGGAGGAAGATGAAGACAGCCGGAGAGAGCAGATGGACGGACTAGACGCTGAAGGAGAGCAGAGACAGGAAATCCAGATATGACTGCTAGAAACACTATGAAGGACCAGCTAAGGGGTAACAAGCATTTAGTTATACTAATGTAAATTTGTGTAGGCAACCATACATCATTAATTAATAAAATCAATACATCAAGCATTCTCCTCTAGTATGATTCTCAACTATAATTATGTATATAGGTTTATTCATTATTTGTATATGTGGTTTGGTTATTTAAATTTGTAAATATAATAGTTAGTAAACCATCTTGATGATTTTACATTCTACCTTGCATGCCACCAATTAGATAAAGAACAAATAGTAAATTTAAAAACATGATACCTTTAGAAAGGAAATCCAATAAAAATTATATGGTTCTATCTAGGATTTATGTGTATCGAAAATACACATAGATCGTTAGACAAGTTAGTTATGTGTAATAAGAAATACTTTTTTTGAATTGTTAAATGCTAATTAATAATGATATTACAATTTTCCATACTTGAAAATGGCCCTTAGTATGGTCGAAAAGTCGTAATTAATAGCTTATCAATAAAATGATGGTGATAATTGACCTAATTTATGTAAAAAAATATGAAATTAATAAGCTACACTTCTACCAGTCCTAGTATAATGTTATGCGACCTGGAGATTAAACAAAATGTTTACTGGCGTGGTATGAAACCATAAGTACTGGGATAACTAGACCGAAAACTAAACTATAAATCAGAAACAAAACCAAGGTAAAGATATTGAGGAGATTGTGTAGATTTCTAACTTTAAGAAGGTGGAAATGGAGGACCAGGAGGAAAGAATTCAGTTAGGTCAAGAGGACTGCGGATTGGCAACCACAAACTACTACGAACTAGGATGAAGAAACAAGAGCAACA